AAAACAGCAACAACAAAAACAGAAAAATGAATAAGAGAACTGAAAACCTTTCTCTCATGCAATTTAGTTCAGGCCATATGGTAAGGAATTAATGTCATTAATATCATCATGTAAGATAATATACCAAAAACAGTATGTGCTAAGTCATAGTCCTCAAACAGTGAAGCAGTGAATATATTCCTTGTGCTGCTTTGCTTGCACATGCAGATTTTGCTTTCCCTATTAAACTGTCTTTATCTCAAACCATGAGTTCTTGCACTTTTACCTTTCTGATTCTATCCCCCATGCACCTGAGGAGAGTGAGCGAGCAGCTGCACCAGAGCACTGATGCTTTGTGCCAAAAGCCTGTTCAGGTACTCTGTGTGAGAGCTATTGGTCCTACTCTGCAACAAGGATAGCAAAATAATACATTAAAAATATTTGTATAAAAGAACATGTATCGTCTCCCATGTTTGGAAGGTAAATATTTTCAAAAGCTACTTCTCATTTAAAGAAGAAAGATCTTCCAAGAAAAAAATTATGTGTAGGAATAAAAGTCTGATATGACAGAAAGTTCTTCACAGAATTTACGTGCCAAAAGCTGACAACCAGTAACTCTTCCTACTAACAATAACAGAAATACTTTCTACATTACAGAAATCCCCGTTCTGTTGGTATAATAAAGTTAGCTGACAAGGTTTTTAATTGTGCATTTGAGAACAAATTCTGATAGTTATTGTATTTTACTTTGATTAGTTCTTTTTTTTTTTTTTTTTTTTTTTTTTTTTTTTTTTTTTTTTTTTTTTGTCAGGAAAAAACAAGTTTTGAAATTTAACTGTGAGTTAACTAAAAGGTAGGTTCTAGCATAAATGTTTGGTGTTGCCATGAAAATAACAATACAAATCATTACAAATGATATATTACCTCCCACAGGATGTCACAAATCCATTTACATTTATAATCTAATCCATTTCTTTCTCCACTTTCCACTCTCTTCATCACCAAATTGGAAACCCTGCATTCCTGATACATATAATTAGCGATCAAGGACTGCATGTTGGAAAGATTCATTATTAGTTTGTAACCCAGAGGCCACAAATGATATCTCATGTAACATGTGATATGTTCCCATATGGTATTTCTTTTCTCCATCCTTGTGACCTGCAGCAAGCAGAAAGGGTGAAATAGAAAGGACAGAGGAAAAAACAATCTCTACGCAATTTGTAGAGATACTAGAAGGAATGAGGTCACAAGCACTAGCTGTACACAGTTAACATCAGCTTTTCTGTCCTTGCATGTTTTCTTGAATATCTCTACTCAGCTGCATCCAGAGAGGAGGTAGGCATTTTGTATTCCATATGCTGACTATTTCTGCAAGCAAAAATTCTTCTCTGAGATGGTATTTCACAAAGTAGTTTTGCACATTAAAATTGAATATTGATTGCATAATGGAGAATTTGTATATTATGGTTTTAGTACTGACTATTATTTAACAGCTGCAAAGGTAGTGTGATTCCAATTCTAGGACTTCTTTATTAAGAGATTACTGAAACACTACTGAATTTGAGCTTCTCAGTAGAGAACTTAACTTTTCAATAAAACAGGTCTGAAGTCTGAATTTTCAGTTAAGTTCTTCTCCTGTGGGAACTGTGACCTTTAAAGTGGCACAGTACTACCCCAAAAAGTATATATACCCTTGACAGGAGCTCATCACAGAATCTCCTAGAAGTCCAAAACAAAATAAGAGCTTGTCTGATCTTTTGATGGCGCAATTTAAAGAAGGATAAAAGCAGGTATCTTTGGTGACTGCCAATATAGTGTAAACAATTGTGTACTACTGTATTACACATATACATATATGTCCCTAACTGATGTCAAGTGGTGTCTATTTTTGATAACGAATGTTTTGTAAGAACCTACAGAGTGTAAGTTCTACATGCTCTTTCTACCTAAAATAGAAATTTGGTTTTGTATCCACTCATTTCTAGCCTGGTTAACCTGTTTTCATCAACTATGTTTTTCTGCAATACTCATCCCAGCATAGTTTGAGTTTACAAGGTTTTGGGCAAGGCTGTGTCAGCCTATCAACCATTTGAGATTTCTTCAGTTTCAAACTGGTTGCTAGTGAGATGACTGATTCTGCTGTAGCTCTGAAACAGGGTCAGATTGTGTGCCAAGTCTGACATAATCTGTATGCATCAGACATGCATAATATGTGCAGCTCCATTGGGAATGTGCATCACCTAAAGCAACCCCTTCTTACACGCGAATGAGTGCAGTACTTTTGCTCTGCGAGACTCTTGAAAAGTACTTTATATCAAAATCACCTCTTACACAAAAGGTGCAACAATATGATCCTAAACATCTGTATCCTACTTTTTTTCTCTTTTTACACTAGATAAAGCTGCAGCCCACCTATTTTTTTGACAGACGGCTGCTGTCAAATCACCTGCAAAAACAAGGAAGTTCATTAAAAAGAACACATTTTTCACAAGAATGTCTTTACACCCAGTGAAAGCACAAAGCAAAGACTGCAGAATAAAAGGACATATGAAAAGAAAATGTTGAGGAATAGGCTCAGACAAGTGAGAAACACAGAGGAGAAGTATAACAAAAGGAGTTCATCTAGTAAACATATCAAAAACAGATAGTAAAATTAGTCAAGACAGTTTTTCAAACACAAATGAGATGGCAAAGATAATGAGAGGAAAAAAAAAAAAAAAAAAAAAAAGAAAACACTAAAAATAGCTCTCATTTTTTTCCAGTAGTTTGCACATGTGGCAATAATATAGAAATTACTAGAAAATTGTTTGCCGTATCCATTTGTTTTGAGAATGCAAACCAGATTTCACTTCAAAAGCAATTTCATAATAATGACTTTTCACATCGAGGAGGTAAAGCAAAATTAGACAGGAAATTCAATACTGAAAATATTTCTTTGATTCTTTTTCAGCATGTTTCTCTGTTTCCTGAATGTCTGCTTTTCTTTTCTTAAATCTTTTTTATTGGTGCTTTGTAGCAGATCTTTACTCTATTTGGCTCACATTTAATATCAAAGTTACCGTATCTTTTATTCTATGACTGATATTTGCAAACTAGCAGATGCTAATGGTGCAGAAAAGTGCATAAGAGCTTGAGAGATCATTGTTGAATCATTGCATGAAGCCACAGATAATATGGATATGTACACTCTAGCTTTACTGAAACAGACTTTGAACTGTCATGGGTTTGGATATCAGTTGGTCAAATATTTCATTTCAAGGAAATTATTTTGTGTGTGTGTGCACCAAAAGAAAATATGATGTTAATCCAGTGAGACTTGGGCCCCACACTGCTTCAAATAAGATTAAAGGGATTGCCTACCAGGGTGAAGTTCTATTAAATTTATAAATATTCATTGGTATATTGAAAAGTTTAAAGCAGACTGAATTTCACTTAATTGCTTACAGAAAGTAATCTTATTTAAAAGAATACTGTTAATTAGATTTTCAAGGAAAAAAGACTGGGAATCCAAGATTTTTGTACAAAGAAAGGCTTCGGGCAGCTGAGTTTTATGAAACACAGAAGTCATCAGATCAATTATGAGGGTTAAATTAGTTGCTAGTTTGGCATGAAGATATTTTGTAGTTACAATATAATATCTGTATGCTTTTAAGGGATTCACAGTAGATGAACATTCTCAACCAAATGGAAGTTCCTGAGTATTGAGTTAAAAGTGATAGTATTCCTGGTAACATCAGACAAAACAAAAATAGCTGAAAAACTGAGCTACATCATGCAAAACCACAGATTAGAGATGCCAGAGTAATAGAATCATCTCTACCTGAGGAGGTATCAAAACAAACAAACAAACAAACAAACAAAGTCCCAAAACAACAAGACTTGCTCTGCAGTGTCAGTAGACAGTACAAGCCATGTGAGTACTGTAATGAAGAGAGTGGCCACAATGTGCTGTCACAACCCAAAGAATCACTTATTAATATATATGTAAGGGTTGATACCAAAGCAGCATTTTTCTTACAATGCCTTCCAAAGCTAAATCAGTATTTCCAGGAACTGTGTTAACAAGGCATAATGTTGGAATTCAGTAAGACAGAAAAATATTGGTGCTACTGAGAAATACTAATCCTCTGACTTGGTTTCTTTGCCAAGAATTTCTTTGCCAAGAATTTCATTTCAGTTTGGGAAGGATTGCATCCCATGGGAGCGACTCCACAGCACAGAGGACAAGAGTGACCAAGAAGGAGAAGTGAATGAAGTGCCATAGACTGACCACAGCCCCCATTCCCCTGTTCCCCTGCGCTGCTTGGGGGGAGGAGGTGGAAGAGGGTGGATGGCATTTTTGATTTCTTTCCTTTGTTTCTCGCTTCTCTAGATTGTTAGGAATAGGCAATAAATGTGACTGTCTCCCGACTCTGTTTTGCCTGTCACGATCATTGTTGAGCAATCTCCCCGTCCTTATCTCAACCCTCAAGCCCTTTGCATCCTCTTTTCTCCCTGTTCCTCTTGGAGGAGGGGGAGTGAGAGAGCAGTTGTGGTGGAGCTCAGCTGCCCACCCGAGTAAAACCATCCCAGAAGCGCATGTTGAGAACTGCTTTGGAGAGCAGTTTTCCAAAGATGCCCAAGATGAGTTCCTGGAATGTGCAAAGGGTGCAAAGGGCTCTTTAGTGAAACCTGGGGGAAAAAGTTAAGATCTAGGTTATAGTAGTATACGTTCTCTGTGCTTCTCACAAAATGTACACATTGGGAACAGGAGTGGCAAGCAGTTTCTTTTTAAGGGAAGTTTTAGAGAAACCAATTTAGAGGGGCGATGTTTGCTTTCTCCCATTTGCCAGCAGCCTTTCCTGATCGCGGTGACATTTGATGGATAACCCTGGGAGGCCTCACGCTTAGGTCCACCAACTCCTTCAGAACCCATTTGTTCATCCTGCCAGGCTTTTCCCCACAGGCCCCAACATGCCCCCCTGGCCCTACAAAAAAGACCCTTTGTCTGCAGAGGTGAGGCCACGTTGAGTTGGATTTCCCCAAGGACACAGTGAGCGGTGAGACCACATACAGAGTTTTATTGCCCACAGGGTGCCACAGTCACAGAGGGCCTTGTCTGCCATCTCCACGCTTGGGTGTGCTGCTTCGGCCCTGGAAAGCTGCAACAAGACAGACAGAGCTGTGAGCAGCCAGCCCAGGCAGCTGTGCCCCCTGCCACCCTGGAGCTGCTCCCCCCTGGCTGGCCGGCCCCTGGTGCTGGGCATTTGCCGGGCTGCTTCTGGGCTCTGACCTCTGCCCAGACCCACGGATCCGGAGCTCAGCCCCATGTGAAGCAACCTGCTCTCTGACGGAGCCTCATTTCCTTCTTCTCCTTGCCAGGATGGCAGCTAAAGTACAGACCAAAGAGGCAAACATCAGAGCACCGCTCCACAACCCTGGCTTCCAGCCCTGCCCTACAGCTGGGACACATGCTTGGGGAGCCACTGTGCAAGGCTCTACATATCACTCCTTGATGGTTGCTAAAGCTTTTTCAGGAACTCGGAGGCAGGTTGCAAGGAAAAGCCCTGCATCCCTGTCTACCCCATCTTCAGCCCATGGGACACAGCACGGTGTCTGCCCTGTTCTGCAAAGGCAGGGCCCGGAGGAAAGAGGAAAGAGAAAGCAGAGGCCCCTACAGCTCTCTGGTCAGGAAAGGGAGTGGTAAGTTCCAGTGTGGGCTCTCACCAAGGATTTCGAAGGTTGATGTGTGCAGCCTCTGCCCGTTCTCTAGGCAGCCTCTCCTGTCTACAGTACGGAGCCTCTCCAACATGGGGGGGGCGTTTCTGGCCTAGGGCAAGACAGGAAGGCACAAGTTCATGGGGGTCCAAAAAGATGCCTCCAGTAAACATGAAGGAGCGGGGAAATGGCTGGCTAGGTCAGAGCCTTTCTATTCTAGCCTTGCCAGGTTCTGCCTCTGCCCTGAGGGAAAAGGTTTCTCTACCACCCCGACCCCGACGGCACAGTCCCTTCCCAAAGCAGCTCACCTGGATGCTGGGGTCCCTGCACACACGCTTGACAGCCTCCACGACCTGGGGCAGCTTCTCTGCCATCGCGGGCTCTGCAAGAGATCCAGTGAGGCATGCGTGGAGGCACAGCCCAGAGGGCGGAAGAGAGCCCTCCAAGCCCTGACCCCGCAGTACTGACCGTCACAGCGTGCCAGAGCACTGAGCAGACCCAGGGCTGCCACGCGCACGGCCTCCCTCTCGTGGCCCAGCTGGGACTCCAGGAACAGGATCGTCTCCTCTGGGTAGATGCGAGCTGTGGGGAGGAAATCCCATCCTGCATTAGCAAGCAGCTTACCCCCATTGCTGAGCTTTGGGAGAGAGCTGCTGGGACCCCACGGGGCATCGCCACAGCTCCTCTCCTTACCTTGCAGCAGGATGCACTGGCTCAGCTCTGCCTTCTGGTCCTGGCTGTGCTCTTTGGTGTCGTCAGTGAGCTGTGGGAACAAGGTCCCACATGGTGGAGAAAGTCCCAGCAGCATTGAGAGGGCCCAAAAAGAAACGGCGCTGCCAGCTCTCATCTCCCTGGGCACTGGTGGCAAGAGGACCCCCAGCCAAAACCCAGCCCACCCCACAGCGTCCCCAGGGACCCACGCACAGGTCTGGAGCACCCAGGAGCCACCCAGGAGCCAAGGCTGAGCAGCATTCAAAGACTCAGGGCTCTGGAGTCCTCCCGAGACTCAGCCAAGAGATAATTGCTGTGGCATGTTCATGGTGCCCAAGTTTAGAAGCTACTATTTGTCTCATTTTCCATTAATCACAGGCTGAAATAATCTAACAGTTGCCCACAAATAAATTTAAAAAAGCTGTTTGATTAAGGGCTTGTCCATGTGGGGAAATAAATGTGGAATGAATTAGGATGTGAAATGATAGGCCACTAACTCCTCTCATTAACTCTCCAGAATAGCACTCCTACTCGGCTGCAATAATGCTGCTGCGAAATGGATTTTAATATAACATGGAACTGTATTAAGATACAATGTGTTGAAGTTTTCTCTAGCAGGTTGTTTTATTTGTCAAACAGGAGGTTATACATGAAGCCACTGTAAGACTGTCAGCAGTAAAATAATTAAATTGCTTCTCCTCATTAACTTCCACATGTAGAATGTCCCAAAATAACATGTAGTTAAAATCTTTCTTCCAGACTATGTCTTCCAGGTAGAAAAAGAATCATCTTTATTTACACTAAAGGTTAATCATCCTTTTAATATAATAAAAAATGGTGCTTCTTTTCACACTCAGAATCTGTAAAAACCTTGGCTTTCAGTCTTTAGTTCTTTTTGCTTTTTAAGTATTCAATTAAGGAGTCCTTTAGTAGTCTAGCAGGAAAATACTTATACCCTGAGCTGAATGAAAAGAATCATTAAAGTCAGTGGAGAAAGCTCTCATTAACTTCAGAGGATATGAAACTGATTCAGAAAATCCTAAAAAAAAGTTTTGTTACTTCCTTTATTCCTTTATGAAATTTCTTTTCCAGTCTGATGAATGTATCTATTTTGTTCAATATTGCTGGAAAAGGCACAAAATAAAACTGATCAGCTGTCAGGGTTGACACATAACCTCTGTACCACTGATACTTATAAGGTTTAAACTGTTAAATATGGGTAATCAGTCATGCAGAAGTGCTCATTCAACTCCTAGGCTGATCCTTTCTGGTTGTTATTAAAATAGGAGTGAGCATAGGAGATGATTCTGTAATTACATGGATCCAATTGTTTTGTTAGTTCTCACAGTTAATTTAGTTCTAGATCCTAAGTGGGACAGATGCCTGCTGTGTTACCAAGTAAAGACAAATTCTTGCATTAAAGACTCTTCCGCTTGGGTATATGTTATATTGGAAATGAACTTTGTGTACTTCTGAAAGCATAGTAGTTTCCTAAATTAAATCACAGAATCATTCAGGTGGGAAAGGCCTCTAAGATCATCTAGTCCAACCTTTAACCTAGTACTGACAAGTCCACCACTAAACTGTGCTACTAAATTCTCTATCTACATATTTCTTGAAGACCTCCAGGGATGATGACTTAACCACTTCCCTGGGCAGCCTGTTCCAATGCTGCAGAACCCTTTCAGTAGAGAAATTTCTCTTAATATCCAAACTAAACATCCACGGGTACAACTTGATGCCATTTCCCCATATCTTATCACTTGCTTCTTGGGAGAAGAGCCCGATTCCCCCCTCTCTACAACCTCCTTTAAAGTAATTGTAATTAAGGTTATTGTAATACAATAAGGTCTCTCCTAAACCTCCTCTTCTCCAAGCTAAACAACCCCAGCTCCCTCACCTGTTCCTCGTTAGACTTATTCTCTAGATCCTTCACCACATTTGTTGCCCTTTTTTGGACATGCTCTAGCACCTTGATGTCTTGTGGTAAGGGGCCTCAAACTGAACACAGTACTCAAGGTGTGGCCTCACCAAAGTGAAGTACAGAATTTAATCTCCCTCTGAGAATGACTTCAGAAGAAATGGGAACACCAAAGACTAATGCTCTAAATAAATAATGATGGAAATCAGACAGTAATATAGCTCATGGAAATCTCTGTGCAAGTATATTCATGCTTCTGTGACAAGAAAAAAAACAACAATATATATATAGTGAATTCAGGTGTAATTATTTACAAATAATACTGCAAAATGAAACTAATTCCATGTTGTGGAAGATTTCAGTTTTATAACATCTTGCAATGAAATCTAAAAATTTCAATTTCTTCCTTTGAAAGGGAAGCTGCTATGGATTATGCAAATCTTGAGGCATCCAAGCACACTTTGTGTGCTAGTTCTGTGTTGACATGTAATCCTACAGTCTTCAAAGCCTGCTTACTAATATATCTATGAAATACTTGGGATATTAGAAACAGTGATCAAAGTAAAACTTGGCAGACTTTTAAAATAAATGGTTAATTAAAAAATAAGAGTTTCAGTTTATACTAACTTTTTTCTCCTGTTTATTTTATTTTATTTTATTTTATTTTATTTTATTTTATTTTATTTTATTATTTTATTTTATTTTATTTTATTTTATTTTATTTATTTTATTTTATTTATTTTATTTTATTTTTTTCCATAACCATTGAATTTTGTTTCAAAGCAGGCGCTTTCTGCTGTTTACTTTTTACCATTGAATTGTGTTTCAAAAAGCAGGCCCTTTCTGCTGTTTTTTTTTTTTTTTTTTTTTTTCTTGGATATGCAATTTCTTAACAAATGGGCAGTCATCAGAAAAACTTCTTTGAACCAGTTTAATTTCTTCTGTAGATTGTACAATCTGTTTAGTACTCTGCTTTGGTGTAAATATCACACTGATAAAGTTCTTAAAAGTCAATATGGAATAATAAAGTAAGATTCTCTTTTCACAGAAATAATCAGCTTTTCTCAGCATAATCTGGGATTTCAAACCTCATTGCAACCCAGACTAACGATTCATGCAGTTGTAATCATAAACCTTTTCGCCCTAACCTTCTCACATGTAAAAGTCAATTTATACAATACTCAGCTATTTATATGGTAATATGGTACTACAGGACACAAAACCCAAACTCCCTTTACTTTATCTATGTAATTACATATCTTTGTTATTGTTAACATTGAAATGTTAAGAAAAAGTAGTTTGCAGCCTGTAATAAGTACAAAGTTTTTTTCTCCTGATCTAAATCCAGAGGACTTCTTTGTCCAGAACATTTTCATTTTTTTTCCAGTGATATTTAATTGGGTTCATAATAGTTTTCTTTCATGATAAGCCTCTGAAAATGAAATTATTTGCTAATAAAACAACATGTTCTTCTTTTCAAGTGGGGTAAAAAGAGAAGGGCAAGGATGCTTTTTAAAAGCAGCACTGATGATAGAGATCTTTCTCTGTGAAGTAACCATCGTACTGTCCACTTACTAAAAATGTGTGAAGAACACTTAAACTGCACAGATACATGTACATGGAATTTTCTGTTAGCAATACAAAGTTGCATATAAACGCTTTTTGGTTTTTCGAAACTTAAAAACCATTGTCTAGGAGCACTGAGCATATCTGTGATTAAGAACTGCAGTATCAGTCCTTAACTTAGGAAAAAGTCATACTTCATGACCTTTCAGCAAATTTCCCACAAACTGACAAATGTGCCCTTTCATCTTTCTATGATGAAGTACTGCAGAATTATCTCAGAACCATTTATATTACAGTTATTTACTTCTGATTCCTTACTTAGTTTAGCTTCTGTGACATTTCTGCCTCGTATATAAAATGGAGAAAACTGGCAAACTGGTCTTGAAATTGTATATGCTCCAATTACTAATCTTAGACTTGGGAGCAAAAATCGGTGTTTTGCTAGCTTTTTTGAATTAACACAACACTTTTTATTCAAAGTGGATTACCATTTCCTTGGCAGAAAGAAAAAAAAAATCATACCTGGGTAGATACTGGAAAAGCAACAGAATATTTTATGGGCCAAAATTCTGACATTAATTTCCTTTAGCCATTAACAATGAGAAATAATCTGCACACCACAATGAAACTAAACATACTGCCAAATTCTTTTTACTTAAAGGTTAGAGCAACTGAATGTACTTTTCTCTGGAAGGAGAAATTGGGTAAAATGAGTGTAGGCTGTAGAGAAAAGTGACATCTGAAGTAAGGGTTAACTGCAGCACATTTACTCTAGGCCTTTTAGCTATGGACATTGCATAAGACGAAAAACACCATCTGTTTGCAGCCAGAATCAATTTCTGACACTAGGTGTGAAGAAAACTGGGAAAGTAGCAGAACTTGCCCCTAAGGAGCTATGCATCTGAAACAAGTTATGAAGTAGGAAGCATGGACTTATTTTTGTAAGTACTGAGAACTTCATTTGAAGTCACTGGGAGATGTGGCTCTCAGAATCCCTGAAAATCAGATTGACCAAAGAATTAATTAAAATTATGCTAGATTAACATACATAAATCACACTCTTATTTTATCCTGACACTTTTGTGTATTACTTGGCAGCGGTCAATAAGCCACTTTGCACTCAAATCATTATTTAGAATTTTTATTAGTACACTGGCAAGGGACCATATTAGCAATCTGTAAAAGTTGATAGAAAAAAGTCTGGTCTAGGAGATAAACACTGAAACGTTGTTTGTTACAGGCATTGACCTAAAATCCTAATTTCCTCAAAGGCAAGAAAAAATCTGTCTTAGAGTGAAATTTAAAAGGAAAAAAATGAGGAAGGTCATCTATCTTTCACTACATAGTTCTTTCAAAATGGATAAAGACGCATAACTTTATTAAACTTGATTATCAAAGCAATGCAGAATGCCTGTAATAAAAATAAATAAATAATTAAATTGAGATTTGTCTGTCATAAAAATAAATAAATAATTTGAGATAAAGTAAAATATGAAACAAGACAATATTTTATCACCTGATATCTAAGCAAAATAATTTTGCAATATTATCTTTTACTTCTCCATATGCAATATCAAAAAAATTTAGGAATGAATATTTAAGTTTAAAAATGCTAAGACTACATACAGCAAGGTTCTGAACTTGACATGAACTTTATTTCTTGGGAAGTTAAAAGATTGAGTTATATTTTGGATAAAAAAAAGGGGGAGGGGGGGAATTACATAGAGCTCATTTCTCATGCCCTCAGTATGAAAACTTGGAAACAATGTTTTCAAATGAAAACCAAAAACACAAAAATGAGAACAAAATCTGTACTTTCAGATCCTTGTAGCTCTAGGTATCCAACAAGAAAGAGTAGCAAGGTTTCTTTGTTAGAGAACTGAAATTGATGCATTTTATAATATAACCAGTATCAGCCATCTTTCTGACTAGCTCTAACTTAAAATGTATCTTGAAAAATTTGTTTACGTTTAAAATAATTTAATGTGTAACTAATACTCAGATCAGACACAACAATATTAGATCATAATAGAACAGGAATTAAGTATTTTGAAGAGGGAAACTGGAGTATA